TGTGTGTGTGTGTGTGTGTGTGTGTGCGTGCTGGTGTCTGTGTGTTTGTGCTTATCTGACTATACTTGTGAGGACACACATCTTTTCCCTCTATACAGTCATTTCACCTAAATTACAGAGTCAATAACTGAAGCTGTAGTTTTGAAGATGGTCATTGCAGATAAGTGTTTGCTGGGCTCAGTTGTAAACTGCAGTTTAAAAACTCCACAGCAGCGTATCTGTCTTTTATTCTTTATGCTCTCATATAATCCACAGACCTTGCTGCCAACAGTTTTTACTGGAACTGAAAGTTGACATTATTCAGTTTTGAACTCATCACAGTGAAGTCTGTGGACCATCAGAGTTACACAGACTTCTCCTGTACATTTCCTTTGTGCACCGTGGATAAAGTTTAATTCTCCTGCATTGTGATCTGCCTGCACAGCCTTCAGAGGCTGATCCTTTCAAAACCAACTCTGAGCTGTTGTGACCATATAGTAGATTATTGGCTTACTTTGTATACTTCCTACTTTAAGATCTTAAAATTCAACTGATAATACTAATACAATTGGTACTGGTAAAATGGTACTGACTGATATAAGATTGTTTGAAATTTAAGGCTATTGGGGGAACTTATTTTGTATTTATTACTTTTCTAGCTGCTCATATCAGTGTTTAATACTCTCAGATGTCAATAGCCTAAATGTGATTCTAGTCATACTAGACCTGTTAAATGAAAACTTTGTCTCAAATTAAATGAATAAACTATGAAACCATGGATATGACCCTGTGAAACACATCATGAGTTCAATTTGAGGGATTTCTGTGAGTTTCCATCATATTCCTGTTCTGCACCATTACATATTTGCTTATTCACTCAAGTAACAGGAAATACCTTTGCTGTCACGTAATAAAATGATGTGCTGAGCTGGTGTTTCTATCAGCGCCCTCCAGTGGACGAGTCTATGTGTGACACACAGTTGATCTCATTATATCTACCAATTAGACAACGATTCTGAGGGTCATCGATAAAAAACTGTATTAGTCTGTATTATTAAATTAAAAATGACCTCATTATGTTATGATTAGGTACAACATTGAAATTAATCGAATACCTTTCATTTTAGTTCATTCACTTTTTGCCATGAATTTGTGAAGCACTCTGTAACCTTGTTTAGATGATGGTATACAAATAAAGTTATTATTATTATTATTAAAAAATCCACCGTTTGTCATTGTTATTTTTTCAACACATCACAATTGATTTAACACAGATTTGTAAAACACGCACAAATATTTTCAAATGGTCATAACTGAAATTTTGTCTACACGAATATAAAACTTGAATATGAAACTTGCTTTATATGTGTCGGAGCAGTTTTTAAACTCCACACCTCAGCCCCTCCTCAACATCCTTCCCTCTCCCCCCTCCTCTTCCTCCTCCTCCTCCTCCTCCTCCTCGAAAGAGCCGCTCCCCGCGAGGCACCCAACCCTGCCACAGTGTCCGGACACCGGCCACATGCGCTGCAGTCGCTGCACCGGGTCCTGTCCTCTGTTCACCAGCAGCAGGGAGCTTGTTCTCCGCCTTCAAGCCACTGAGCACCACTGATGGAAAACCCTGCGTTTTGTCCACCTCTGTGTGCGCAGCGCAGCGTGTAGTATACCAGGAGCGCTCCTCCGGACCAGGACACCGTCATCATGAAGTTGGTGGTCCTCTTCCTCCTCACGTGGACCTCCTGCCCGCGGTGTCTCGCCAGCATCGCCGGTAAGAAAACCGAATAAATATGAGACTTTACTTATTCAATGCTTTTGCGTTTCTTATGTGAAAACACGAAGACAGGATGAAGTCTATGGTGACATGTGGTTCAACACTCGTGGCTGATGAAGATTTTAATCAACTCCACACAGCTCTTTATCACATTCTCCTATACAGAAAGTGCACTTATCCCTGATTTTCATTTAAATCAAAGAGACTGAACTATTTCCACAAATGTTTTTCTCTGGATGTGTAAATGTGATAACAAGAATGAAATGGAATACACATGATTTGGGATTAACAAAAGTAATCAGATGCAGGCTGCAGTATAAGTGATTTCACTCCTCTGCACTCATCCATTCAACCAGATAAGATTTGATATATCTTCCAGTGTAGTTCATCAGTATTGTGTCGTGGCCCTGCTCTGTCTCTGCTGAAGTCGATGAGACAAACTGGAACACAAGTGTCAGATGTCGGTGTCTCGCTGTGCTTTCACTGTCACACACAGAGGTGACTCTGGGATTAAACTGCACTAATACTTGATTGGAATGATGTTACTTTCCATTATTCACCAATGAGTCAGATGACGTCAGACAGATGTGAAACCAGCTGCAGGTTTAAGGTCAAAGGTCGACACTCTTCCTTCCTATCACCACACACCACTTCCTCAGTGTCTTAATTTAATAACTGTGTCTCTACAATATTATATATAAATGTGTCTCTGTCCTTTCAGAGACACCGTTTCACCTCAGGCTGATTGAAATGCTGCCTTTCCCATCTTCCGGATACAATTTTGTTATCTCTGCCCCTCCCCCTTCATTTGAAACTGCAGAGATCAGGCTCTTTGCATCTCTCGTGGAATATCGACAGTCTATGTTTTTATGCACAGAGACATATGTGAGCTGGATTTGGAGCATTAGAACCTGTAATATACACCAACATATCATTTTACACTTCTCCACTATAGATTAAAACATAAGCCCTGATCATTTCTAATGGGATACATTTGGTTGGCTAACATTTGTTAGTGCTAAACAAACAAGACATTTTAGCCTGAAGTGAATTCACGCACAAGATACATTTCTTACTTAAAACATGCAAGTTCCTTTCTTCTCAGCTCTCTCTCATGTTGCTCAGACCTGTGCCGGGGGGTTAAACTGTGAATAGTCTAACCATTGACAAACTTCTGCTCTTAGGCCAAACTTTTAATGAGCGGCCAAACACAATTTGTAACATCAAACAGTTGTTAATGAGCAGGTCCACAGAGATGGGTGGAAATAGTTATAGAGGTACTGTAACTTATTCAAGAATACTACAAGAATAACCCAACTCCACACAACAGATCAAATTCAGTGACTTTAGTAGAACTTTTTGTAAAATTAAAATGCATGATAAACCTACTTACCCATATTAATTAGCATTCATATCTTTCCAATGACATGGCAGAAGTAAGGTACTACCCGTGGAAGATAGACGTATACTGTAATATTGTGCCCCATGGTGGAAGAAGGAGACATGATTCAAGATCTTCACCTGGTACTTGCAAAATTGAATGGTTATTATTCTTCATTCCTCCTTATTCCAGCTAAAAGTGACTTTGTGTCTTTGGCGGAGATGGAGGACGAGCTGCTGAGGAACCTTTTCCAAGGCTACCAGCGCTGGGTCAGGCCAATCCAACGAGCCAATGACACTATTAAAGTACGCTTCGGACTCAAGATCTCCCAGCTGGTTGATGTGGTGAGGATGAATGCACAAACACACACGATAACATGTCTACGCACCTGTGGATTGAAGCTGTTGTCAGAAACAGATCAGTAAATACCCACATTAAACTGACACTTGAATCCTGTGTTATGTTTCATTTACTTCAATGATTGACTCCAGCGTCCCCCTGAAACCCTCTGATGGAAATATTTCTTAAAAATTGACATCATGACGCAGCATGGGGTCATGACTTTACTTGGGTGGCTTGGTCCCCCTGTGTGTTTGCACATTACTGGGAGAGCCTCAGTGAGAGAAGGTGCAATGAATTACAATGAATAACCATAATCCATTAAGAGTAACCAATACAAACAGGCAATTCGCTAACTGGCTAGCAGTGTGTTTTTGGTTTGCCCCAGAAGTTATAGCAGAGACACGTAAAATCACGGGTAAAGCTAACATGACAATTAAAAGTCAACCAAAATTAAATGTCCTCTTTCCTCCCAGAACAATATGGGATGTCTCTGGGTTGTAACATTATTGGAACAAATATATACTCATATGTCTAGTTGTTTTTGACATTCTAATGTACAATTATTACATATTATATCTTAAAAACATGACTTCATTGACACCATAGTAAATTGTGAGCCTCATAATTTCACTGCTAAAGCAAATAAACGTGTACAAACCTTATAAAGCACAGACTACTGGTGAAGTCTTAAGGTAAAGGAAGAGAATGACATGAGAATCGATCTATCAATTCTAACAAAGATCGGACACGGTTGTTATTTTGCCTGAGTGGTGTCGCTGTCCATGGTGCTGAAACCAAACAGCTGCAGTGTCACAGTGCAGAGCTTTCCATGGTCCTGAAATAGATCCGGAGCACTCTCTTCATATCTACAAGCGCACAGTAGCTCTCTCTGTGGAGTGTTTCTTTAATATTTCAGAGGCGTGCTGTGATGGTTTTACTCGGTTCAAGAAGAGAAAACGGAGGATGCTTATAGAGGAACCACTCTCCTTTGCCTTAAATATGCATCTCAACCAGTTTAGGCTTAACTCTTCCATTCTTTCACCTGACACAAGTGGTAGGAGAAGACAATCTGGGATGAATTAAACAAAGCCTCTTTATGGTTTTGCATGGAGTAGAGATTTATGTCCATGTTCTGTTGGATTTTTTTTAGAATAGATCAAGGGAAAGGAGAGCAAACCAGACTTACAGCAGCTCGGCTTCACTGTCCCCTGAGTGTTTCTGAGCTGCTGCATGTCTCTGTATTAGATTATGGTTCACCTCTGCTTTGTGTGATCACCAAAACATCCAACTCACTCTGACAGCTGGGGTCAGCTCTGGATATATTGAAAACATATGTCTTTGAATATATCTCTTTTCTCTTATTTCTCTGAAGTCTCAATTGTTCATCTCAAACTTTGGTGATGTGAAGACAATTGTTAAAATGTTAACCACTCTCCATCTCTCAGTTCCTGTTATTCCTGTCTCATTCTATTAAACTCCTGCTGTATTTATATTGCTTCAGCCAGTCCACTGCACCCACCTCTGGTTTCATGTTTCTTTTTCTTGTTTGCTAAGGAAGTGGCAGAGACAGGTAAATGAGATTCTGTCTGCTTTCTCAGAGGGGAAGCAAAGGATGATTTAGTTTGCTTTAACCAAGCTTCTCATCTATTCCACTTACATCTGATGGAATCCCTACATCAGAATTAGTGTGTGCTTAACACATTTTTTTTTGTATTCAGGATGAGAAGAACCAGCTCATGACAACAAATGTTTGGCTTTGTCAGGTAAGCAAGAGGAAACATTGAATCTTTACATTAAATCTTACCATTTGAACCCACAGGTCAAGAAGACACAAGCTGATATTTGTTTAGTTTGATTATCTAGTATTATTGTTTAATGCAAAACCAGATTATAAGGCAGGTGTCTGACAATATCAAAATAATAACTCTGGGAAGCACAGTGGCAAGATATATATTTTTTATATAGTTTTATATATAAGTCAAATGATTCAACGCTTTTTGTCCTGTATCTACCAGGAGTGGATTGACTACAAGCTGCGATGGAATCCAGACAAATATGGAGGAATCACGTCCATCAGAGTTCCCTCTGAAAATATTTGGCTGCCAGACATCGTCCTCTATGAGAAGTAGGAGTTCTCTTTCAAGTTCAGTTTCAAATGATTTACAAACATTTGATGTCTGGGGAAGCTTTGACTATTTTAATAAGCGAAAACGACATATAAACCAAATTCACTGCTAATAATTAGCAGTGAATTTGGTTTATATGTCGTTTTCAATTCATTTTTCATTTTCATACATTTACCAAAATCTACTAATTTCTAACATGATAACATGATTACATTAACACGATTAGAAGTTCCACTCTTGTCTACTTAACTTTGAGAGTTTTAATTATTAGTAATTGTAAAGAAGAATACATCTATGTATAACTGAAGGTTTGTGTTAATGTGATTCTGATGAACAAGACAGATGACTTGATTTGTTTCTTCAGTGCTGATGGGCGTTTCGAGGGCTCCCTGATGACCAAAGCCATTGTCAAGTACAACGGTATGATCACCTGGACGCCACCTGCCAGTTACAAGTCGGCCTGCACCATGGATGTCACCTTTTTCCCTTTTGACCGACAGAACTGCACCATGAAGTTTGGCTCCTGGACATACGATGGCAACATGGTGGATCTGGCTCTGATGGACTACCAGGTAGATCGAAAAGACTTCTTTGACAACGGGGAGTGGCAGATCCTCAGTGCCACCGGTGCCAGAGGAAACCGGAAGGACGGCTTGTATTCATACCCCTTCATTACTTACTCTTTTATTCTGAAGAGGCTACCGCTGTTCTACACTCTCTTCCTCATCATCCCCTGTCTGGGTTTGTCCTTTCTGACTGTCTTGGTGTTTTACCTTCCCTCAGACGAAGGAGAGAAACTGTCACTTTCTACCTCTGTCCTCGTCTCGCTCACTGTGTTCCTCCTGGTCATAGAGGAGATCATCCCCTCCTCCTCCAAGGTGATCCCACTCATTGGAGAGTACCTCCTCTTCATCATGATCTTCGTCACACTCTCAATCATCGTCACCGTCTTCGTCATCAACGTCCACCACCGCTCCTCGGCGACCTACCACCCCATGTCCCCGTGGGTTCGTAACCTCTTCCTCCAAAAACTGCCGAGGTTGCTCTGCATGCGTGGACACATCGACCGCTACCACTACCCAGAGCTGGCCCCTGAGAGCCCTGAGCTGAAGCCTCGCTCTGGAGCTCGGAGAGCAGGCCAAAGGAGCGGAGCCCATGGACTGGCGACTTCTGAGGGGAAGGAGGAAGAGGCATGGGCGACCATGTTGGAGAAAGCCATCTACTCAGTGCGGTACATCAGCAGACACATCCGCAAGGAGCACTTCATCCACGAGGTGTGTTTAGAATTAATCATGAAAGATTGAAGTAATGATCATTTTACAGATTCATGTTTCAATGAGTTGTTTTCACATCTCTCATTTCCTCTGTTTTTCCCAGGTGGTACAAGACTGGAAGTTTGTGGCCCAGGTGTTAGACAGGATCTTCCTGTGGGCTTTCCTCACTGTTGCAGTACTAGGTACCATCCTCATCTTCACTCCAGCTCTGCAAAATTTCCTTAAAATCCCTCCTCCGACTGCAAGTGAGGATCCACCTTCACACTAATGGCAATGACGTATGACTTTCACAGACAACCTGCTGATCCACCTTCAAGAACTTTAAAACACTTGAACAGGAAGAAGTCCCAGCAGGGGCTTTTTAAAGGTACACACTGACACTTTGATTTCTAGTAAGATTTCTTCTCTAGATCCACTGTGTAATATTTTCTTTATGTCATTTTATTCACGATAACATAATATTTTGTTTGTGCATAAATGATACAAACTTAGTTAAGCTCGGTACAACCTGTGTAACATTTGAGCCTGTTAATTGCCAAAGTCATAGGATTTTTAATTTAACTCAAAATGGCTTTAAGCAGCACACAGCTGTTAGTGTACCCTAGTTTAAAACTACTGGCCATGTTAGCCAAATATTTAAGCTTTAATTATATGAAACCTTAAGCGTAAAGTATGATGTTAACCTACAGATTTTATAATTTGCTTGATTCATGTCCTTAAACTAATGTCGTCATTATAACTTCATGTTTTTAGTGGACATTTCCCTTGATTTTGTTGAATGTGGTAGATTTGTTTTCTTGAGTTGTGTGGTTTATTTATTTATTTCTTCAGCAATCTAATTCACATTCTGATTATTCTGTCACAACATTAAAATAATCACATACCTGAAGCACAAAATACCTCTTACTCTAAATAAGAAAAAAAACAAACTTAATTGCTCAACATATCAACAAAATTTCTATTCAATTACATATTCATTAGACATCATGGACATCATGTACCTGTTTGAAGACATTCCAATGCATTGAGAAAATGAAAATAAGATGATTGTTCAGAGCTTAATTTGTGACGATGTGTCTGAGTGTCCTTATTTCTTATGTATTGATTCTTTGTCTCATCCTCTTAAAATAAAAAGCTTGCTACACTTGGTCACTGCTGATTGAAAATAAATTTGAAGTTACATCAAGTTCAGTAATGCATTCTAAATTACACAATCTTTAAATGTTCAGTATTTGTATGACTCAGATATATTTATTTATCACACAAATAAAGTTGTTTTGAATACTCGGTTTTTTGTTATACGTGACAACCTGTTTGTCACCATTTTGTAAAATGAAATTAAAATGGTCCATTATATCATATCATTCAATGGAAATGTGGAATAATCAAGTCACACACGATAACAGAGCTGGAGCCCATGAACAGCACCACCTAGATGGCAGCACCACCTAGAGGTTAATCATCGACATGACAAAATTTTCTGTCAAAAAGGAAACAGAGATAATGATTCTTTCCCCTGAAACATCCTTTATAAAAAACCAAGTCCACTTCCCCTTTCCCCAGAGCCCAGGAATGAATCAGGATGCATATGAAAAAACCTGCATAGATAAAAAAAGCCCATTTGAACTGTTTCATTTGCTTTTATTTAAACTTTGAATAAAAGGTTTGATTACAATCAACATCATTGTAAAAGGAACATACGAAAAAACATTAAAATTTACAAACACACACACACACACACACACACACACACACACACACACACACACACACACACACACACACACACACACACACACACACCTTATAAATGCAATTGTGTCTATTTTCACCTTGAAACCAGTTGGTTAAAATTAATTAACATGTTTTTTTAAGTATTTTCTTCAAACAAGTGTGTATTTATTTATGTTCAAACAGCAGCTTGACCAGAAGTGCAGAGGTTCCCTTCTTAATATACATATGTCCAATGGGACAGACATTTAAGTATGTTCAACTGCCGACTGTATGTGTGTGTGTGTGTGTTGCAGCTCTGGACAAGCCCCGAGGTCTGACTGCGGTCAACATCACAGACACTGAAGTTCTGCTGCTCTGGCAGCCTGCCATCGCCACTGTAGACGGTTATGTCATCACCTACAGTGCAGACTCAGGTATGTAGCATTGAAACATGTAGATATTATGAACACGTATATCAAAGGGTTATATCCTACTTCAGTACAGCAGTGGGTTCCATTGTTTGATTGATGCCGTTGTCACTGCAGTCAGATTCTGATCACATTTAAATGATCATTACTACTTTTAAATGAAGATCTAATGTAGATTGAGTTTAGTGATATCTAGTGTTGAAGTTGCATGTTGCAGCTGAACACCCCTCACCTCACCCTCTCCTTCCAAACATGAGAAAGAACCTGTGGTAGCTTCAGTTGTCATAAAAATTCAAAAGGTGTTTAGTTTGTCCAGTCTGGACTAATGTAAAAAACATGGCGGCCTCTGTAGAGAGGGTCCCCTCCACGTAAATATAAAGTATTTA